AAAACCATTTTCAAAAAGCGTCCCACGCCCTGAAAGACCTTCCTTGTTAGTGCCAAGAATAGAATAGAGTTTTACGGAACAAAAACTATGCTAGCAGTTCGTCTTCCTTTATTGCTAGTGCCCCGTAGTACAGATTCAATTCCTTATATTTACTTGGATGTGGAATATTTATAAGGACAACTGGAAACTAGCAAAAATTGGCAGTTGAACAACAAATTTTACAAACACCATATACATTTTAAATTTTATCATATGTATTACAGTATTTTAAATATCGCTCTGATACTCCACTTCATATTATACTGAGGTTAACATTCAGGTATGTCCCTTATACTCAAGGTCTATCAGTTTGGCAATAGTATTCAGTTGAATGTTTGATGTTCCTTCGTAGATCGTACCTGAAAAGCACAATGGCCACACGAAAGCTTTTGCCTGAGCAAACCTATATACTACTGTGTTTAAGGTGGATATCCAAAAAATTAGACTTAATTCAAGTATAGCTTCATACTCCCACCCAACGTTTGATCCCCACTCAAACCCGGAAGATGACAGCAGTAAGGGTACTGCCGCTGCGCCAGAAAGTATTATTCTGAGACTCACCTGCTTTGACATCTCTGTAGAACTTTTCCACTGGGTACTCCTTTGTGAAACCCACCCCACCATGCCATTCGATGCATTTTGAAGTGGCTGCAGATGCTACCTGAAGGTAAGAATCGGAAATTCAATGATCATCATTAACAATCCATTCAAGGCACATTTCACGATAACTAGGGATATCCAGTTTTAGACGAGTATTTGAAACGATAGTCCAGAATAGAGCAAAAACGGGGAAGAAAAGGGGAAAATCGGTGAAGTTGAAGAAGTAGAAGGCTCTAAAAAGTAGCAAGGGGTTGGACGAGAATGAGAGGACAAAAGTTGCATGAAAGGGGTATCTGGACGAGCTGTCCAAATGTGTGTGCCATTGCTAGCTGGTTGACAAGAGTAAGCTGCATGCGTACTTCTGCAAATGGTGCAATCTCTACAGCCTCTACAACACCGTGAGCACTCGTCCAGCTCCGATGCGTATGTCGGCTAAACCGGTTTTGGGTCTTTATTACACCCTACCTAGACCGTTTTTTGATGCAACAGCGTTCCTCGTGCTATCCTCAGTCAGGTCACAGGTTCGTCCTAGGGATGAATCTCAGATACCCTTTTTACCGTGAACTATCCTTAAGAAGGCGCCACTGTTGCCGAGTAGAACTGAACTGTTCTGATAGTCAAACATGTTTGGTACATAGTACCGTGTTGGTGTAAGCAGCGCTGTTGTGAGAGGGGCCCAAGCGGGCGACATGGGGAGGTTAGCGATGTGACTGCAGGTTATTTTCTTCACGAAAACGTTCCACTTGAATAAAGTTATCAGACCAAATACCTGTGATCCGTAAAGTTTTGCCATAGCAGCCTGTTTAACGAAGGGAATGTTGTTCTCCTGAAAACAGGTCATTTTGTAGAGATCCATGTGTGAGGATGCTAATGCACCCTTCAGTAACCTTCATTCTTGCTGCGTTGTAAACCAACAATCGTGCCGCTTCGATCTCCACCGCAGTTTGCGCGATCTGGTGCTGCAGACCCTGCAATTCAAGGAATACTCACTCATTCAGATTGCACCTTTGAGCAATCGACGTGGTCATACCTGGAAGTCAATTAATCGTGATCCAAATTGTTTCCGTTCTTGAAGATAGGGTATGGTGGCATCAAAACATCCCTGAGCCAAACCAACCATTTGAGCGCCTATGCCGATTCGACCAGCATTTAAACATTCAATGGCATATTTATAGCCTGAAACGGAAGGACATAGTGTTAAAGACAAAGAGGGAGAAAACGGAAGGCTGATGGAGTATTCTACTATTCTCTGGCGTTATCCTCAATTTTTCTTGAGCTAGTGAGATTTTTTTCTGTTTTCAAAGGACCATCGCCTTTCAGATTCTGCTTTTGTGTTGTATGGCACACCCTTGGGTGTATGAAGTGAATAAATAAAATTCCCATCGCAAAGGCACGGTTGGCGATAAAATGATATACGATCACAGAGTAAAGGAAAGCTTGTGTGCCTCAATGATGAAAATTAAAAAGCGTGTAGATCCCGAGAAGAAAAGGCACGGCCTCCTTGGGAAGTGTCATCCGTCAAGCTGCAGTAGAGCATATTAGCGCTGCTGCTGAGAATGAGGAAGGTGTGGCTAATGACCCATGCCAGTACTTCAAAACTTCGCCTTAGATCTCATTTTACCTTTTTCATTTTATCTCTCATTGTGCTCTGCTGAATCGCTGGGAAAAGTCGCCGTTGCGTACCACATTTTTCAGGAAAACTGTAACGCACCTTTTCCGTATTCACCAAGTATAGCAGACTTGGGCACTCGCACATTTTCAAAATAGACTGGACATGTGGCTGAAGCTCGAATTCCCAACTTGTTCTCTTCTTTATCCACAGTTATTCCCGGTTGGTCTCTGTCCACCAAGAAGCATGTAATGCCTTTGTGCCCTTTTGAAGGATCAGCGTTTGCGAACACCTAAAAAGCACAATCACATAACTTGAGATGGAAATTTTCCCACTGTCGTGAGCTGAACAGCCCAATTGGATAAACTGGGCCAGGCATAGTGAACAGTGGTGTCTCAGACGAATGAGGTACTCGAACATGTTTCCTTTAAATTTTGTACGTGAATCTAAGCGCGGAATCTCTTCTGACCCTGGTTTCCTGACGGAGGTGATTGAAATGGCTCAACGTGAGTAAGAATCTTTTCAAAGGGCCTGTCAATCAAGAAATAGAAGTCCTAAGCCCCCTTCTGCAATAGGGGAACGTGATGGGTGATGTGGAAGAAGCTGGCAATGATACTGTCGATTGTGCTGCTTCCGAGCAATCACACATACATATAGCTCGACGTATGGAAAGAACAACCGTACATATGTAGCAGCAGCATCCCGTAGAGCTATGCAGCTCGAACTCGTGGTAAATTTATTATGGGCCCATCATGAACTTTTGAATGGACGTTAGAGCGGTACTGTTACCGGTTAGGCTACACAGGGCTTCAAACGTCAGCCGGGTTCGCAACTTTTCTTTACAAAAGCTCCGAAACAGCATACTGTTTCTAGTTAACAGGCTCAGTGACGGTACTGGCTATACCGCTGACTCGTTTGACGATAGAAAACTCAGTCAATTGGAAGACAACCTCGTACCGTAGCTGAATAATGAAGAGAACAAACCAGGAAGAACTTGGCATGGCTGGAACTGGTAATCCATAGTTTCGATCCATTTATCAAAAAATCATCCCCGTCTTTCTTGGCGACGGTCTTCATAGCAAAGGCATCAGATCCTGATCCGGATTCAGAAAGACAAAATGAACCGATCTAAAAAGAGGATGCGAAATAGTTCGAAGCCATAGCCATTGTCAAATAATTGACGATATAACGTAACATGGAGGTATTTTTCTCAGAGAACCTAGAAATAAAAAATGACTCTTACCCACTCTGTGCAGGCTTTCGGTAGGTATTTTTGCTTTTGTTCTTCTGTACCTAATTCCAGAATCAATGGTAAAACGAGTGTGTTTTGAAGATCAACGAACGTGGATACTGCAGGATCGACCTGAATGCATTTGAGGAATAATGAAGTCTTTAGCAGGCGAGCATTTCGAAGATGACTAGAAGTGCCAACGTAAGCTACTGCATCTTTTTCAAGTAATCTTGATCAGTCGGTACTATGTAGAATTACTCAAAATGAGAAAAAAAGACGTGTTCTACTTTTGCCTGATTATTTCGAATCCCTGAACCTATCGACATACCAATTCGCTGAGAATTTCGTCCAAGGGCCTCATAGTAAAAATTCGAGTTGTTTATGAAATTTCAAACCCTTTTCCTCCCGCAATAATGATTCGATGAAGATACTTCCTCGTGAGAAGGGATTGAAGGACGTCGATCAAAAAGGGTTTTCTGGACGCAGTCGCCTGGTATTATATTGTTCTGGGAGGAAATTACGAGACCACATCAAAAAATTAATAACATCAAAACTTAGTTTTCCACACCCTGAGACAAATATGTTGAGGATCTCATTTCTAGGCTCGGTTTGGTATTATTGAAAGCGAAGTAACTGCCCTCAGCAAATTCTTTATTGAGCAACGGTTACTCAAAACCTTTTGACCAAATTGAAAATAGGTTGTTGGGTCTCTCAGATGTACCCGATTAGGAAGTCACCGAAATCCCTTAGGGTAAACAACCGTCTCCAAACTCCTGCAGCCTTGTCTCGTCCTATTAGACGAAACAAAGAAGGGAGGACACTCGGTATGGAAAAAGGGTTCATACTGCAGTTCAGAGATAGAAAAGTAAAGTTGTAATTTTTCCCATGAATCAATTTGCTACAAGTAGGCTCGGTCCCTCAGACTGAATATAGATGGTGGAGGGTCCTCGAGCACTGCTCCAACTTTGTTTCATTCCTGTATTGACATATATTGTATAGAAAAAATATTATGCATGCCAAACCTTAGCCAATTCCTCGATGACAATAATAGCATCAAAAAATGACGTCCCTGGCCCACCATAAGCTTCGGGGACTTCGATTCCCATGAACTGAAAGCAAGGAAACCTATAGTATTTCAATTTCAAAGCACTCAATCAGTAGAGCGAATCGATCAAACAGCATACCCCGTTTTCAAATACTCCCGTAATCACAGATTGATGCATATGTGATTTTTCGTCCATTTCGCGTACCAGCGGTTTGACCACATTTTGAGAGAAACGTCTTACTTTAAAATAATAGAAGTTAGTAGCATTACTTCAGAATAATTTATAATAAGGTTCACTGTTGAAGTATTCAAAGCGGAAACGTAAAGTATCAAAACGTTCTCAAAATTTTCTGTCTATTTCTTTTGCAAGTCCTACTGGTAAGAACAAAAACAAAAGAGAACTCAAAAAGACTATGAATTTTCTCCCAACGTGTCTGCGTCACTTACTAAATCAAAAATAACTATTAGGTAAATAACCTTCTAAATAGACGAATCACAAAGTTTTGCAAGAAAAAGAATCTGAAATTATGAGGCTTCACGTACCAGTATCTTGCAACTGTAGTTCATGCTCGCTTAGTTGCGTTACTGGAGGAGGTGGATGTCCTTCGACGTCATGGCGTGGTTGCGATGACAGGGCGGCAGAGACAAGTCCACGGACACCACCCAATCGAGCAACATAGCGAGATGTCAGCATCCTACAATCACTAATTCATGGAGTTTCCACAAAAAAACCGAGATCCGGTAGAGGGTAATTATCGCTTTTTTTTTTGGAAAGAGTTGCGAAGGAAATCGGAAAAGACTGGAGATTTCTAAGAGTCTTAAATGAAACGAATTCAAACGAGTCAAAGATGGCATATTCGAGAGGAATTGGCAGGCAATCACGAAAACTGTGGGTTCGTGATGTAGTACATAAGAGTTTGATGTCGGTCGAGAATGATTTCTCTGATAGGTCCCTGATCTCGTCGGCACATAACAAATAAAGGACGGAATCCCCCCTTCCCATCAAAAAACGATTATTAGTGGGAGTTCTTCTATTCTGTCTTCTAATTCAACCCGTATCCAATTTCTGTTTCCAGCATGACTTTACCTTCTCATAGTGAAGATATTTATACAAGATAGACTCTGGGAAATGCTCATTCGATAAAACCAAGGAGAAAATGTTAATCACAGCTAGTAGACAGCATTTTTCATCAATCTGGATAAAAAATGATTCTAGTGAATCAATAAAAAAGGCTGAGCGATAAAAGGTCGCTGATCCTGACGGATCCAACTGCCAGCCATTTCCTCATCCATAAATCAGAGGCTATAGGGGCTAAGTGTTCGGCAGCTGGGTTTGTCTCCTGTTACTCTCTCCAATTCCACATGCTCTCCTATCACTTATGATAGACTTCTTTATCAAATCCTGTCATTTTGTCTTGTGCTGGGAGTTGAAGAACAGCAAATGCCTTTTTGCCTCACCCTTAGTGGAGGAAGGTGAGAATGAAGCTGAAATAAAAGAGAGGACTCGTTTTCTTCTCTCTTGAAAACGTCAGTCAGTTCGGGGCTGAAGCCACGAGCCTAACTGTCAGATGATGCCCCTCATTACCTCCTTTACACTTAGGCAATGAATGTAATGTTAAATAAAGAAGCTCACTAGCGTATTGAATCGTCCTTTTATGCATGAAAAGGTGATAGAAAATGATAGTTTCAACAGAAAAATAAAGAGAATTACATCGAACACCCACAAGTCATTCACGGTGCAGGTTAAATTCCTATCTGAATAGTCTGATAGTGGTGCAAAAATGCTTAAACCGCGACTAAAAAAGTGAATCTAAGCGACTAGTCAAGACCAATACTTACTTACTTACT